CTTGTTCCTGGCTCATGTGACATTCTGTTCCGACGACGCACTGTTCTGAGCCCGTGTCAAGCGCTGTAGGCCGTCTTCTTTGGTGAGCAGCCACTCTTCCAGCAAGACATTGGCGCTGTTTGCCTCTTTTGCGAGAATGTCCGGCAAGTCTTAGCTGAGATAGGCTGGGCAGGGGGCAGATGCTATTGCCACACCTGGAAGCCTTGTTAGCATCTCTTGAGAACCTGTGCCTGGCAGGTATGGAGGAGCACGATGCCAAAGATATCCAGGCTCGGTGGTTCGGTTCTGCGGTTGTTGGGATGTTTGCGACTTGAGCCGCGGCAGGTAGGAGTCTTTTCTGAACATAGGTTTCGAGACATTTCTTGACTGGCACGAAGAGGTGCTGATGGAGCACTACGGAGAATTGGTGCTGAATCGGGTGAGAAACGCCAAGCTGGTTCAGCCCCCGAGCATGGCCCATGATGTGCATTGGTTTACCAAGACCCTGACGAATCTTTGCAAGGCGCTCGCTCGAGTTCATGTTTTTCTTGGCCAACCAAGCGCCTCTAAGTCGTACGCTGTCACTGCATCACTGCAGCACCTTGACAGGCAGACCCCTTCTTGCAGTTCTTCGCGGATGACCCGAAGATGGAAAACTGTATGGTTTCCATTTTTAAACTGATCATGAATGGGGGCACGCCACCGTCTGCTCAAAACTTCTCTAGCAAGCTGAGGGCTGCACATCAGGACCTCTACCTGACAGATGCTAGGTACAGTGCCTTCATTGGCCACATTGACAAGGTTTTGAGGGCAATGTTTCCATGGCCAGTGCACCCAGCAGCCGTCGCTAACAGCAACATCCGTTCCCTGGAGGGCTTTCGCACAGAAGTCCTTTGCGGTAGCACTTTGCGAAGTTCAAGGCTGCAAGCTGTCGAAGGAATGTTGAATTCTAATGACTCGAGCAAGCAGCGTGTGGCGCGTCAAGCGAGACGTGGAAGAGTGGTATCCGCAATGCAGAGATGTGCCAAATCCCTTTTTGACTCCATAATACAGGACTCGCGTATTTCAATGTTCTTCAAGAACAGTGATCCGGCTTGTAAGGATCGCAAAGCCAGGTACCTAGGCTGTGCGCTTGCCGGCAACCTGCCCACAGTGGGGCAACCCAATGCGAGCACCAACCCCCCGACACCCTCAAGCGCTACCAGTCAGACGATGTCTCCGGCAAACAGCCTGAAGCAGCAGCATCAGCTCTTTCGCATCTCCGACTACCACTTTGATGTCTTCTTGGATCATGTGCGGCGGGCCTTGAAAGGGGAGGATCCAGAGGCGAGGATATTTATTTGTTTGTTTGTGTGGGTGCCCATCGAGTTTCAGTTTTAATGTCGCACCCAGCATTTCCGCAGTGCATGTGTTGTCCACTGTGTGTCCACCACCTTGGGCATCCAGGCCGCTGATTTGGCACCTGCGCAGTTAGAGTCACTACGACCCAACGTGGTCTTGGACTCCCGAGCATCTTGCCCAGTTTCTGGGGCTGCTTCTTCTTCTTCTGGGCGTGGGTGCCCCTTCAGACGGATGGTCGACGGAGCACCCTTGCTCGAGAAGGTCGGTGGCACAGAGGAGATTGAGAAAATCTTGACGCTGATGGAAAGAGAGGCTGGTGTGGACCACAAGGTTGATGGGAATGAGTAGCAAGGGCATTACTACTAGTAGCACAAAGCTACTAGTAACAAGTGCACTGCTACAAGTTCCAAGAGCATCGCTACTAGTAACGGGGGCATCGCTACTAGTAGCTTCTTGCTACTAGTTGTAATGCCAGGAGCTACTAGTAGCTTCTTGCTTCTAGTAGTAAGGTGCCTTCTAGTAGCGATGCACCTTGTTGTTGAATCGCAGTCTGATGATGTGGTAGGCAGCATCCTCTCCCATCCTCGTGTCCTTTTTGAATGGCACGGATTGTCTACCATGCCGCGCCCAGACGCCTGACTAAAATGCTGAAGTCAGCTTCTTTAGCAAGTGGATTTTCATTGAGCTCAGAAATGCTTTCATACCTTTCCGGGAGTCCACCGTCCCCAAGTCACAAATCGCTCACCCATCCTGACTACCCAGGATTCGCAATGCTCTTGCGGCTGCGGCAGCCAGTGACAATCTGGAGGACATACAGTTCTCGTCTGAGCGGTTGCAGGTGGGTGTCCGCAGACATCGTGTCGATGCCATTCGAGTGTCATGAGAAAGCCTGGGAACCAATAGTTAGTCAATGGATGCTTTGAAGAGAAAGGTCCGAGTTACAAAAAGTTGCAATAATTGAAGGTGATTGTGGGCGAGAGATAGGGCAATCATTTCGAACTACCATATATATATACATATTCCTACAGCATTGGTTTCAGGCTGTGGCAATGGCAAGTTGGCAGGTTTGTTGCATCCGAACTGAGGCAGCTCACAGCCAGTATGAAATGGAACCTGAACATTTTGAGATGTGGTTGGGATGCTTCAATCGAAGCATGGTTGCTCACATTCTGCCACCAGATGTGGCCGACAAGTTGCAGCACTGCTTCCAAGCCCTCACATCGGCAATGCAGAGTAAAACCATGCCGCGGTTGACATCTCAAGAGGAGTGTGTCTTCAAGATGATTGAAGAAATTACAGTAGAGTTTTTGGGGCATGTGCACTTTATCCAAAAGTCAAGCAGCACAGTGAGGGTGAGATCATCAATCGACGTCAGGAGGACGATCGGCCTGCGGCTGAAGTAGACTGGGGGCGCCTACAGGGGCTGATCGACGAGCTCGGGGGCGATCCGGGGCTCACCGCTCTGATTGAGAATCTCAGCTCTGCATAGTTCTGCATGGTGCAAACATGTGCAAACACGAACTGTGACTGTATCCCTGAGAAACTGCAGCAATGTCCAAAACCAAGGAAATGGTACCACTTCATCAGTGAGGAACCTTCAATCAATGCCTTTTTCACCGGACAGCGTCCTCAAGTGATGATGTTCCAGACCAGGTTTTGGAAGAAGGCGCTTGGAGGATTGTTTCCTGTGTTAGAATTATATACATATGCATGTTTATGTCATGTCAGGTCAGGCCAGGTCAGGTAGTCAGTCAGTCAGTCCGTCGGTCGGTCGGTCAGTCAGTCAGTCTGTCTGTCTGTCCGTCTGTCTGTCTGTCTGTATTAGTCAGTCAGTGTTGCATTATGTTGCGTGTTGCTATGCCATGCTTTTGTTAGAGCGTGCTTGAATTGTTGGATGCTTTCGCCATCGGGAAGCTCAATCCTTTCAGGTGCTGCGCGAAGGTTTGCATCGGGACGGTCGCCGTCAGCTCCGTTTGATTCAAATTCACCAGCATTTGCGGATCACTCACCAGCATTTCGACGCCTTCGTGCGGTGCCTTGATGATTCATACTGTAAGTGGCAACAGAGCGGGTGTAGATATATATATATATATAGTGGTAGACTAGTAGTTAGAATTTTTAGTGAGGAAAAAAAAAGCTAGCAACCTAGGACTTGCTAGAAAACTGAAAAAAAGCAGTTAGGTCTGACGAGAAAAAACGTCGCACATAGAATTAAAACATCCACATAGAATTAACAAACATAGAATTAAAATTGTCACATGATTGCACGATTACCCGAGTTTGCCAAAACATGAGAGCGTCCAATGACTCGCAGCTTGCGGTGCTTGAGTGAAGAAAGGATTTGAGGAAAGAGTAGGAAGGGCAGAGTGTAAAGATAAGGGTAGAACCCCATCAATGCAAGCAAGTGATGCTTAGCTTTCTCAAAAAGCAACAATTTTCTATTTAAGGTTTGCGCTTTTTTTGGCCGGCGCGTTTCTAGTTGCAATGAATTTGTCCGAGCTACATTCACAACTGGAGGACGGGTGTTCACAACAAAGTGTAGATTTGGTTTCTAGATGGATGGTATATTATAGGCGACCAGTTTGTTCCTTTGAGAATATGTTTGAACACATAATTTTGAATGCAGTTAGAATTATTTTTAATGTTTAGGATTAGCCTGCCCTTCAAAGTAGCCAATCAGTTCCAAATGCATCTGGAATTCATCGTTTCGACCGGGAAAAAGGAAAGGCAGCGTTTTTGTTGGTCGTTTTTTTGCTGGTAAAGTGCATGGGTTGCATGTATGTTGGATCAATGGAATGTCATTTCTAACTTTCTAACTGCATATTTTACTAATTCTAAGTGCATAATCCTTGAAAAACAATTCTAACTACGAAAAAGCGCCAATTGCATTCTATTTGTAGAGAAAAATCTAATTCTAAGTGCATCCCTAGAAAATTTGACAATTCTAAGTGGTAGTCCGCCACTATATGTATACACACATATATACTGTATTATATAATATATGCTATAAATTGTTTCGCAAGCGGTCTGAAGCCCAAAAGGCACCCGAAGTCCTGATGCACCTGGGCCCAGGTGTTTGATAAACGCGTGCGAGGCGCTCTCTCTCAGCCAAGATTCATCCAACAAGATGAGGGCGGCTGTTGAATGCTTTCGGCCGCAAGTCGTGAAGGACTACACCTGAGCATGGTGCAAGATAGTGCACAAATATGCGCAAATGATCTGAGTGGGTGGCAGACATCCTTCAGCGTGCAGAGGGGTGGTCATGGCCCACTTGTGTTAGTCTTGCTATTGGTAGCGTTAGTTGGAGAACGATAGTCTTCATTGTGGCCCGGCTGGCACAGAAGCCCGGTGAAAGAAAGCTGTTCAACCCATAATGATGCCTCAAACAAAAGGATAATGCAGTAGATGAAGCTGGTTGACCATTCACAATGTTTTGGGGCGCTCCACTCACGCTAGCCATGACATACATTCTGACGGGCTGCAAGCGCAGGAGCCATGAGGCCACATTTAGTTTAAGTGGCACGGCCGAAGCCGTCGGCCATTTTCATGGATCCGAGTGGTCCCAGACATCCGAGAGTTCCACGAATGTGCGTGGGACAAACATGGCAAACACGCCGCTCCCGGAATGACACCTGGCGCGGAGAACGAGGCAAGCTTGGTTTACAGCTTTGCCGACCCAGGCCAAGCAGAGCAGTCTGATTCTGATTCGAGGTGCTTTGGGACGCTTCTGTTCCAGTGTGTTCACCAGCTGCACTTTTCATTGTTTGGTTCCGAGCGGGATTTATCCACTCTGCAAGTCTGGCTTTTGCCAGGCCTGGGGTGTCACACGGCCGGGGCATCTGAGCCACACTTGGTGCTACAAACCTTTTCCTTTCACTGTCTAAGGCCTTTGCACTCCTGAGAAGGCACCGGTGTTGAGACGGGATGGCTCTGCGACGACCGCAAGCCACATGTTTGGCGTTTGTCGTGACATGTTCCGCCTTTATCGCTTCTGAGGTTGCCTGGGAAGCGATGAAACGCCAGAACCCTAGCCTTCCAATTGAAGTGGGTGTGTTGGAATGCGGTTCTTAGACCTTGATGCAAATAATGGCCACCAACATATCAAAAGAGTTTTGGACATGTATGTTGGTGGACTCTATCTTTAATAGTCCTTCAAAATACCATGAAAGATCGAATGCTTCCATCGATGCTCAGGTGCCTTGGAGTCATCCCCGTTTGGGTCTGAGGAAAATATTTTGTAGAATTGGGATAAGCTCAGCCTGAATTCCAGTAACTTTCCATCCCAGAGGCATGTTTGCTTTTTAGCTATCTTGAGCATGGAAAGATATGGACACTTTCGAGGTCTCCCAGGAAGTGCCGGAAGATGGATCGAGAGAGTGCCCGGATACTGAGGATCAGGGAATGAAGTGAACCAGTAGGTGTAGCATAGCCATAAATCACGTCATAGATGTAGTTTTGTTCCACATGTGTTCCTTCACGCCGTTGCCGAAGCCATCAGCTACGTATAATAAAGTATCACACACACACATATATATATATAAGTATCGAATACATTTTTTTTTGGGACCGCTGGGTCACCAGGTCGGCAGCTCAAGAAGCACAACAGATACCGAGGCATCAAGCTCTGCCGCAAGCACAGGGACTTCATGATGTGTGAGAGTGTGTGTGTGTGTGACCATGTTTGGGGGTGCCAAGGTGGAGAAGCCGAATTCGCGAGCTCGCGCGGAGTGGGGATGCCTAGATCTTGGGAAGGCGGCTGGATTCAGAGAAACGTAGTTTGAGCAATGGTAGGCACAGCACAGTGCAGCTTGTTTCCAGGCCGCATCCAGAGCCAAGCCCAGCCAGACAGGCCGCAAGCTGCCCTCAGGCTTCTCACGGCTCGCGACAATTTCTCAAATGTGGTGGTAACTTGTGATGGTTTGTCGGAGGACGGGCACGTGAAGCAGATGTCAGAAACTGTGAAGGAGCTCAAGGCATGCAGAATACAACACTTCTACCTTATTTTTGCAGTCCTGCAGTGTTTGGTCAATCGTACAACCTACAGTGAGTGGCTTGCAATGATCAGCTTTGGGCCACTGGCACGCACCAGCCCACCACGGAATTTTGGCTCCAAAGCACAGGCTAGACTCGCCAGACCTCAGTAATGTGGAGCACATTGAGCCAAATTGAGCCCTGGGAGAAATCCCCATAGCACACGCTGAGCGGTGTTCCTCTAGTGAGTGGTGGACCCAAGCCATGCCGGAAAATTCCAGGGATATTTCCAGGAATGATCAGGAAGAGGAGGCCTGACTATGCCATTTGGTCCGCCGCAAAGTTCCTTTCAAACAAACATCCACCTGGTGCTTTGACCTGCCTGCAAGTGCATTGGCATATGGTACGAGAGAAATCGTGCAGAATCAGAATCCTGCCAGGAAGTTGGTCTCATCTCAGCGCGCTCACCCAATCCAGGCAATTTTAGTTGACCTTCTGGGGCATTTTTGTTGTGCACTGTTTGCTTTGTGCCTGCAACAGTGCGCAAGAAAGACAGAAGGAGATGCTTGCTAAAGTCTGCGGGCAACAGACGTCGTACATTAGACAGGCTTTGTAGACAACATTTCACCTCCCACATGGTGGTACCGGGGACTGATTCAAGAACACGTCGGGAACCTTGAAGCTTTGCAACAGGTCGTTTTTCCAAATGGACGCCGGGTTCCCAGCGTTGGCTTATTGGCTTTGGGGGTCAGTGCGATGGACACCCTGCACATCCCTGCACACAGTCTGCCGAGGCTATCGAGAGTGGCATTGGGCTTGGTCCTAGGGCTGGCTTGTGCCGCCTGGATGCTGAGGGGCGAGAAGGACATCGAGGCACGATCCGAAGACCACTTGGAAGCACCACCGCAACTGCTTGCCTGGTTGCCGTGGTTTGTCTCCCCGACAGCTGAGCGATCAGGTCATAAAGTAAAGGCTGTAATGGGGTCATAGCTATGTTGAGTGGGAATCAGTGGAATCAGCATCTTCTTCCATCAGGGTGTGACCAATTCTTCATTGCCTCAACAGTTGCCGGGCGGCAATGTGTTCTCTTGCTGTGAAATCACGGCAGATGCTCTGCATATATTTCTTTGTCATACAACCATACTGCAGCCGAGTCGATCCGACTGGTTGTGCTGTTTGAGGAAGTACTCCGGTCTCAATGGTGCCACGGGCCCCATGCCTCCAGTGCCCAAGAAGGCCAACGAACACAATGGAATCGAGTGGCCAGAGATGCCACTTGGATGTTTCCCTCAAAACGTTTGCTCGGGGTGTGATTTGTCTTTTGCCCGCGACTTTCGTTGCACAAGTTTTGGTTGATCTACCAATGCCTTTGTTCCTTTGTTTGCGTCAGCGCGGAGCGTGGGATGGACATAATGTTGCCTTTGGTGGATTGAAGAAATAGCTCCCGAACCTTCGATGGTCAAAAGTGGCCGCAACAACCGTGCAGGGACTGCACATTTTTGTTGTGAGTTTCTTGTGCGGACAGCAGGGGAAGGTAGGAAGAAACATGTGTTCAATTCAAAGTTGGTGCAGTGGGGAAGGCTCTCAGGAGGCCTGAACATAAAAAGCAACGTGTTGAATTGTGTTGTCTCCTTGTCCAGTTTTGAGGGACTGTTATGGTCTCCATTGCTGGAGGTCTACGATGCAGTTTTCCGTAGTTTTCCTACTGTAATTGGGTTTCTTGAGGAGTTGATCCATTCATATTGTGCCGCGCTTTCCTCGTCTGTTGTTTGTGTCGCTCCCAGCCCTGTTCTAGCCTGATTTTAGCTGATGTGGATGTAATGTCCACCGTTTTGGTGATCCAAGTGCTTGGTAGTAGTAGTACTACTGTATATATACTGTAGATACTATTGCTAATTTGTTCGTGTGAAGCCTGACTATCGCAAAGCACAAAGTTAGTTTTGAAATCTGATTCCTTCTTCTTTCTTCATCCTTATAAGCCTTAGGACGCTCGGCGGCGACCAAACCATGACGTTCTTTATTGTGGGTCAGGGCCATAGACACTGGCACTCCTTGGCTGGAATGGGTGCAAGCAGCAAGGTAATTTTGCGGCGTATCCGTTTGCCACGTTTGTGGTTCCATTTTGGTTTCATGTAGCCACATAATGGAAGGCGATTGGGGTGGAATGGACGGTGCGATCATCCCGCCCAATGGTGCAACAAGGACACTAGTTGCATTCTCCAATTTATGCAATTTTCGCCGCTCGCTGCGGAGACGGCGCGTTTGAAGAAGCCAAAGAGTGTCAGGATGGTCCAGTACAATGGTGGCAAGGAGGTAGGTCCACATGTATTTGCTCATCGGCCCAGCGGGTGCAACGATCAGCAGATGCTACTTGGCTTGGCTCTAATGACTCGGACTCTGAAGTTCAGTGTCAAGAGACTACAGCACTGAGTCACTGAGTTCAGTGCACTAAGGGATGTGGGGGTCGTTCATGCTTCATGCAAGGTCTATTTGCTTCAATGCTCGCGGGGGGGTTGGCTGCCCAGTGACCTGCGGGTACAATGATTCAGTGGACTATGAGCCGGCGCTGTTGGTGGCGAATCAAATGAAGTAACTTGGCACATCCCGGAGACTTTGTAAAGATGCTTCGGGGTTCAAAAGCTTGCTTCCCATGCCTCCCATGACATCCACGCCCTACCAATCAACTCCTTCATGCTGGTGACAGTATGTGACAGCGTATTCGCGTGTGACAGTGTGCAAATAGTGCCTTTGCTTGGAGCACACCAGCGGACTTTGCCAAGATTCCGCCCTCAGGAAACGTGCAAAGACGTCCCATCCCCAATTTGTTCTCAATGTCAGGAGCTGAGAGAATTCGGAATGAAGACTCGGGTGTGCCCGTTCCAACATCACTGCCCGTGCACAGAGTGAGGTAGGTGACAACTTCTACTGGGGAGGTATTCCACTGATGTGTGGTGCCAACCCTTTGGCTGGGATCCACTACATCACCGGACACATGCTCTGTGGCAGAAACGGCTTTGCAAGTGCACCTTAAGGGCCTTCCGGGAGCACCGTTGAGCCTCCAAAGCCTAAGGTTTGACACCATTTACAATCAGATCTACAACACTCCAGAGCTCAACATCGCTTGGTTGAGCGTTCTGGGGAGCCTTTGCCCGCATGCCTTTCGCCATTGGGACTCGCCGTTGGCATTCCCCGTCCGGTCGGTCTCGATCGAGGAACCATGACTATGGTGGCTGGATGTTTTCCGCATCATGGGACCAACAGAGCCTTGGCAGCGGCAATTCTTGGTCTTGTTTGAAAGATAGGGTGCGACTAGCTGGGCTGAGCTCCAAGGATTGCCTACACCTGGCACAATCCAAAGCCGAAAGCTTACACTTACTGTAGTAGTCCCTTAAGATGCAAGCTTGCAACACATTCGGTAGAAAGCATACCACCCCACAAATTTGAAATTTGAACAGGTGGCGACTACCCGCACAGTACTGGATGCAACACGTGCCCTGTTTATTGGAGTGAGTGTCGCTTAGGGTAGGTGATCGTGACCAGTCATCAGGAATTTCATGATGTTGAGCAGCTGCTACGATGCCTTCAGCAGACGAACATGCCTCCGGCAGTTGAACGGGGTCGTTCTGAGCAACGATGAGAATGCTCCAGACATCTGAGGTGAATTTTGTTGACAAAGGCTTCGACATGGACATCCTCTTGCTGGATTCCAACAATGAGGCCACAATAGGCACAATTTCATCACGAAAGCTAGCCTTAGCTAGCTGGAGTTGCTCTTGCTTTAGCAAGTTAAGTGACGGGGTGGACGCACCTCAGAAACCTCAAATAATTGATTAAATCAATCTTATGGACCCCCCCCCCCCC